GTATCTATATTTGAATTGAAACTGATTTGAACGAAAAAAAAAGTTATTTTTATAAAAAACGTATGTATAATCGCATCAAATGTAGAAGAGAACTTAGAATCAATTATCCTACAAAAGTTCTTATATACCGAAATGCAAGTACTGGAGAATTTCAATACCTGTCTTATTCACACCCATTCAATTTTCATCCCTAAAACCAGTTTCAAACATTCACAGTTGTTCATGCACTTTTAATCATATATTAAATTGTACTGATGACGTCACTATATTGAGTCAACCATAAAAAATTACTATACATGAGTGACCATTTAAAAGACAACCACTTATATGGCAAGTACTAGATCATATATGGTATATACTAGGCTGATGATATAGCCAACTTCTCCTGGTTTGCGAATAAACTATCAGACCATCTATTGTGATGTATTAAACTTAAGTGCTTTGAATAAATAGGCTAGTCTTGGACAATAGAAAGATATTTGGATCAACCCAACTCAAAAGTTGACATTTTATTGGTGAGCCTGTTAGCAATTTTTTAATAGAAAAGAAAATCAAAATATTAATAAATTAATACGTATACCAGTTAAGTGACAACTTTTGTTGTTTAAACTGCGCCTTATATCTCAACATTCAAAACCTAACGAATATTATTTTTGTTGTTTATTCATAAGTAATATTGCACTTGTGGTGCTATTGTTAGATTTAACGCATAAACCACCGCTATATAAATTAACTTAACTATTATGAATTGATGTTTTTTCAAATTTAAACACTTTTTTTATTCGAAAAAGATTTATTTTCTTAGGACAAATCATTATTAATTAGCAAATGCTTTTAGTAAATAGTGACTAGAAATTTCAAATTATCCACACTCAGTTGTTGGGCAAAGTATTTTACTCAAAAGTACTTAAAGCAAAATTTAGATGATTTGAAAAGTTATATGCTATGAAAAAAACTAGTCCCACTTTAAGCTTGAAAGCCATTAAAAATAATTTAAATATATTGCAATGTAAGTATAAACAATTTTTGCAAAAAAATACTAGTGCTTAAAATTTTCAAACCAAAATTTTCTATCCATCAATAAACTAATAAATTAATTTTATTTATTTTTGGAATATATAATTTTTTTTCTAAACTGGCACAACAAAATGATTTATTTGAAATTATAAGATACTTCATAATAAATAAAATTTATTTACACTTTTGAAGAGTTTTTTTCTATTCAAAATGTAAAGCAAAGTCAATAAAAGTGAAATACGGCATTCATGCAAATAAAAATGAAATTATTTTTAAATCTAAAATGGCTTTTATGGAATTACAATTAAGTAGAAACACCTGCGACATCACGCGGATGTTGCCTACGTTTATAAAAACATGGTAATAAAATTTACATATACATAAATCTGGATGCATATATTCGTAATTTATATCAAAGTTATTTGTTGAAATCAAATTTTATTATATTTAAAATATGTTTTCAGCAATTAGTTATTTGCAAAATATAGGTCGACACATGGGCTTAAGCTTTTGTGACCTCTAAGTCAATTCCAATTAATAACATGATATGTAGAATTTTCTGGATTTAATTATTAGTCAAATATATAACATTAAAAATTTATATTTATTTAAAAAATTACTGGAAGTTTACTTTAAAAATGTAATTTGTCTGAAGATTGCTTTTATTAAAAATAGTTAAGATTAACTAATTTTCCAAGGGACTTATACAGTTCCGCAGTGGATTAAATTAATTTTAATTGTTTTAAATTTTTTTACTAATTTCACTTATTTTAATTACACGTGCGTAGCGTGAGACCAGCACAATTTATTATAATGAAATATTTTAACTTGATTTTATAATAAATCAACAAAAATGCACTTAAGAGCAATTCTGTTGCATGCAACTTCTGCCGCTGACAGCAAAACATTTCGAGCATCATAAAATAAAACTTCTTCCTTTCATAACTTTTCCTCTTGAATTAATGTGCCATATGCCCAGCATTTTGTGCATCAGTGCAACGAAATGCACAGTGAGAGAAGTAGGAGTAGGAGTAGGAGTGCTTCAAGTAGTCCTAGTGGAAGTGCAAAGGCATTTTGGTACATAGTAGCTACATAAGCTCGGATTTATGTTGCATGTGTCTACTTTAACTTTAACTATAACTTCAAGTTCATGTTTAATATTTTTCGTTAAGTATTTAATGCGAACACTTCAACACACCAACATAAAAACTATTCTTGTGAATAGAAAACTGACCTAAATGGAAAAGTTTGGAGAAGCAAGCAAAACTTTTTAAAGATCATCTTAAGTTCTCGAGAAAATTGTTAACAGCAAATTGAAAAAATAAAATTTCATTGAAGTGCAGTCATTTTGATATAACAAAATTAAATTTATGGGCCTTCAAAGTTATATACCATTTTTATTATTTTCCTTTATTTTTCATTATTTCTTATTTTTATTTTGATTCTGTGATAACGGCTATAAACACCAATAACAGCTTTATTTTTAATTCAGAATAGAGATTAGAAGGAAGAATAGAGACTATTATAATTCCAATACAAAATGACAATAAATGGTGAAATGTTTAGTTTTTTAACAGTTGAAAAATATTTCTTTGTATATTTTTGTTATTAAAACAAAATTGATAGTGCTTTCAAATAGAGCGACCCAAGCAGCCATGGTATATCTTTAGAACTATTAAAGTACCCTCACTAAAGAGAGAATACTCAACTCTTTAAATGATAACCGAAACATCACCAGTTGAAAGCACAGGTCTCTGATATTAAAGGGGAAAAGGATATAGCATTCTGCTCCAACCCCTGATCAAAGCTATACAAGTACAGATTATGTCACTAGTAGTCTCAAGAACTAAACTCAAGGTTTTGCAAAGCAAAACTGATACTCTGTACATCACACAGATTCATATCGGTGAGACGTTAAATCATTTTATAGTAGTTCTGTAGACAATAAAGATAAACGAAATTGATGAGCAACATATTCTTTTTATATATGACCACACTTATAAGTAATAAAAATCAATCAAGACAAGGATGACTAATTCTGTTTCAGTAGAAAAATACCTTTTGTGATTAAGATGCAGTAAGTTTGCATATATTACCTTTATAGTATCAAAATTACTATAAGATTCGAAAAATATTATCAGGAGTATATAGTAGATTAATATTCCAAGGATAAACACATTTATATGACATTCAACAGTTCGATAGGCTTAGGCGTTTTAAGCTGTTTTGGAATACTATTTCTACAATTGATAGTTGATTCATTTCATTATTTGAAAGTAATCACATGGTATCTCTTGTACTGGATTTAAATAGTACTTCCATAATTTGGTTCATCTGTACATCTCTATGTAAGTATTTTACTCTGCAGCTTTTAAATTGTTTGGACATTAAATTTGTTATCTATACCCGAGATCTCAAGCTCTTACTTCCAGATTGTAGATAAACCTTGTTTTGCAAATTGAAACGATTCAAAAGGAAAACTGAAAGAAATAGTGAAGAGGTATTTATATGTTAATCATTAACATTATTTATTACTTGATGAAATTACTCGATTGGGCAACAAAATTTGACAGATCTAGAGTAAATCTTTAGTAACCTTTTTAATCGTGATTTATTTTTAGTGTAACTTTTAATTTTAATTGGTAAATCTCGAGCGAAATGTACAACACTTGAGATTGATTTCTAACACTCTAGATATATTGTTAACCCTTAAATTATGACTCGACATATAACATAAAGTGTGATTTGTATCGATATCTATTTATTAAATATATAAAGATATACTAACAATACTAGAAAAATGTTTAGTTCCACTAAAAATGTTTAATTGGGAAATAAAATTTGACCGCTCAAGAGTAAATCATGATTGAATCCAGATCTGATTGAGCAAAAAAATTTGATAGATCGTTAGTAAGTCTAGATTGCATGCAGATTAAATAATCGAAAATGCCGTTAGATTTTATAGACAGTTCTACTTTAAAATTATATTGCTATACATTTTTTTCAACCAAAATAATTTCAGAAGACAGTCAATAAATATTAATATTGACTATAAATAAAAATTAATATTGAATAAATATTAATATTAATAAAAATGATCAAGTCTTATGCACGTCTCATATGGGCCATAGACCCGAGACATAGAAATCTGAGACATAGAATCTGAAACATAGAAGTCTCAGCCATAGAAATCTTATATGAGTCTTCTCAAACCCGTTTCTAAGAGCTGGTTTCAGTGAATTCAGGTCTCACAATGTTATTTTCGATACTTTTCATTTATATATATTTTTACTTTTAAGTACTTTTTCCAACCAAAATAAATGCACAAGACAGTGAAAAATAAATTACTTGAAAATGATAAAATATGATTAAGTAATGCAGATAAACTGAGTTCAAAAAATTAATAATAAAAATCAATGTTCAGTAAACACGTAACAAATTAATCTTACTTCTCATGATTACAGCAGTACTAAATGTTTCATATAAGTCGAGGGGAAAATGTTGAGTCATATTTAACGAATTTTCAAATAACAAATTTAATTTTCTTAAAAGCATTACAAAAGAGTCATAAATTACATTGGCAAAAGTGAATTGCTACCGCCGAGATAAATACCTGCGCTTCAGACGTCAATATAATTTGA